AACACCTTAAAAGGCAATTTCAAAGCTTTTTTTATTGCTTGTTTCAAGTTTTTCGAGATTGAATCTTTCAGCGACATATTAATGAACCTCGCAAACGGCTTCTTTTTGCTTAAAAATTCAATGCAAATTGAACTCTTGTTCTTGTTCCTATTCTTATTCTTATTCTTATTCTTATTCTTGTTTTTATTCTTATTTTTGTTCTTATTCTTATTCTTATTCTTATTCTTGTTCTTCTTATTCTTAGTTCCAATTCGAAGTTATTCTTGCTTTACACTTTAAAAGCAACATTTTAGTCATTTTTAATGTCTATCATTTAAAAAAACTCGATTTTCTTTAAAACTCAACTGTTTTCGAATAGAATTCTCAAATTTTTAGCCACTTTTTTTGAAACCGATCTTTTTTCCGGCGCGAAAAAGCAGTTTTTCAACAAAAAAAATGAATCAGAAAGGGGAAATTTCCTGGCTTTTTCATGAACAAAATTGACTCATTTCTTCCGATTGCTTTTATTGTTTTTGTTTGCTTAGAAAAGTGTTTGTGAGTTTTTTCGCATCAAAAACAAAAATTGTAACTCAAATTCTGACTTATTTCCTAAAAAAAATGACCTTTAACACTCGAAAATTGTCGAAAAAACGCCTCAACTCGTTGTCGAAAAGGAGTGAGTTTTCATGTTTTCATGTTTTTAAGTTTTTCACTAAAATTAAGTTGTTCCAAAAAAATTTTGGCAAACATTTCAAACTGATGAATCTTTTTGGAGAAAAATTATTTGAGTTAAAGCTTTCAGAAATCATTCGAAACCAAAATCTAGGCTAAATGATGGTGTTTCAAGATTGATCCTCATCAAACCTTAGAACAGCGCCTTCTTATCATAGATTTGGTTGAGTGCTTTAAAATTGTAAAAGGAAAACATCAAAACCCTCTTTTTAAAAAGTTTTTCGGCTAAACTTTTGGCTTTTCGAGGCTTTTGGCGACTAGGCGTGGCTCTTTTATCTTGCATCTCGAATCTGCTTTCTCTAAATCCTCTAGAGCTTTTTTTGTAAATCGTGTGATTAAAGTTTGCAATGCCCTTCCCGACAAGTTGCGTTTGATCTCCACCGTTTCTGATTTTAAAAGGGCTACTTCGTTGCATTTTAAGTGACTTTTTCATCTTTTATCTGCTACATTTTTCATGTCGTTTTCGCACTTTATTTCTTTCTAAATAAAGTATTTATATCATCAAATCGATACCGAAAATTGTCTATTTGTAAAGTTCAAGTTTCAAAATCTTTCGTCACAAATAATCTTTCAGAGATTTTGTCAAAAAACATAGTTTTCTTGATCTAATTATGATAAAAACCTTTACAATGCAAGCTTTAAATTCTAATGTTTCAAAGTGTTTAGCTTAAAAAGTAGAAATTGAAAGTCAATTGGACCAGAGCCTGCTTTTAAAAATTTCTTATTGAACTTCTCCTGCTTCGTTTTTCTTTTAACATTTGCCTCTTGTTTTACGAAAACCTATTTTCGTCTTTTTCCAAAATTTCGGCGGATATTGGACACATTTTCGAGAGTTATTCGACATTTTTTTAAAGAATACTTTAGAAAAGAATCGATCCAAAGAGCTTTCATCCTTGCAAAATTATCTTTTACAACGTCAATATATAAGAAAAGTCAACTTTTTGTATTTATTTCAAATCTAAGAATCAAAATAAAGGGTTGAATGAGGTTTTGTGGGAGATTTACGGTAATTTGAGTGGTTTAGGTGCTCAGAAAAAAGTAAGTTTCAAATTATAACGAATAAAGTCGCTTTAAAAATTTCCAATATTCCAATATTTTCCAAATTTTCGTTTTTTCATTTTTTTTTACTTGTTCAAAATAGAATCGACTAGATTTTTTGGATTATTTTTATGTCAAATCAAATGGGAAATTTCGTTTTTTTATAAGTCCGTTTTTTCAGGTACATCATTAAGCCCAAAAATCTTTATTTTAAAAAAAGAACAAAAAGCAAGTTTCAATTTTATCGAAATTTCTTTCCCTCTGAAAGGCTTTCGTTCGTTTCATTTCAGTGTTTCAATGGTAAACTTAAGCTATTAATTGAATACCATAATATATCCTTTAAAGGCTACTCTATCAAATCGTTTTTTTTGGTTTAAAAACTTTTGCTCTTCTACTCCTTTTCCAGATTCCAGATCCTCAAAAATCCGAAAACTTTCGATTTCCTTCTCATTTATTGAATCCCCTTCGATAATCCCTCTATTTTGTCCAATTTTAAGTTTTTTTCCTTAAAATCACCTTGGAGAGTAATCCGGATCGTATAATCCGGGAAATTGTTATTCACTTCAAATTCTTGATTGTTCGATCGATCTTTTATCATTTTCGAACTTTAGATACTAATTTTTGATAGATTTTCGAGTTCTGACGATTTACGTGACGAAAAAATGATGAATTCTGTCTTTTTTGAGGTTCAATATTGGGGCAAATTTCTTGGCTTCTTAAAGAAAATTTTAAAGAAAAGAAAGAAATTGCTTTTTGGCTTTTATTCCTATATATTGATCGGTTTAAAACACGATTCTTTCGGGATAAAATTCACTTTGATATTTAAATTTACTGTAAAGTCCCGTATTCAGCATAAAAAGCACTCAGTTGCGTTAAAATGTGTTTTTCTGATTAGATGTTTTCAGCGTTTCATTTCGAGTCATTTACTTGAGTTTTTGAGATGAAATTTTGCTAGCGGATAGATTTGTATAAAAAAATCAATTATTATTAAATCATTAAAGCTTTACTTGGTTTTATTACTTTAATAAAAGTGAAACGTTTCTTTTTAAAGTGTTTAGAAAAGGAAAAGCTTGATGTTCATCCAATTTTTGAATGATTTTTGCTTTTGAAACGTACAATACTGTAAAATTTAAGTAAAGCCTAGTACTGTTGAGTCGACATATCTTTAACTCCACTTACAACCAAAGCTTTTAAAAGATGTTCAGTCTATCGGCTACGGATTAGAGCTACAGTATGGCTAGAAAGCTCAAATTAAAGTCGAAAGCTTCAATTTTAAGCCACAAAACTACTTGAATTTCCCAGTAGATTCTCTTTTCTGGAACATTTTTGAAATTTCAAAGTTACAAGTAACTCAACGAAACTCGTGACCTCATCAAAAACTTGATCTCAAATCTTTCCACACTAATCCCTTTTATATTTCTTTTCATTTTCCATCCAATTTCCATTCATTTCCCCTCAACTTTTCAGCAAATTCATCAAAAAGAAAAAAATGAGAAAAATCACCGTGGAGAATAATCCCATTCCGATTTTTTCTCCTCTTTTCCTCAAAAATAATATTCATTTTTGTGTCCACTGAATTCCCAAGGAAATCCTCTTCACAAAATTCAGAAAAAATCCTGTCGTAAACAACAAGTTTTTCCCCGTCTTTCATTGTTTGTCACACTTTTTCTTATCACAAAAAAAAAGATTTAGTTCGAGAGTTTTTTCAATCAAAAACACACACTTATTTGAGTGTGTAAACACTTTCGGATTCAGTTTTTTCCTTGGAAAATTCTAGTTTCAAACTGCTAACGATATTCAAATTCAAATTTCCGATTGAAACCCGTATATTGTTCTTTTTCAGCGTTTTTGATTCAAATTTTTTGAAAAAGATCAACTTTTTTGATAGTCAGAGTTTTAAGGTTGGATTATTTTTAAACTCAGCTTCATCCCCTGAATTGTCTAGACGTAAATCTGAGTTTCATTTTCTAAGTTTCCAAAACGCAACACGAAGCATTGAAAATTCGTGAAAAATATTCAAAGTTTCACGTTTTGGCGGCTTCGATAGTGACTAAAAACCCTTAATTTCCTAACCTTTTTTTGTACATAAAAGATTAGATTTTATTAAACTATTCAACCTGTTTCTTTTTGTAAATAGTTAATGATAGTTGATGAAATTTTGATAAAATCTCAATGAACTTTTATGATTAATGAAAATGGTAAAAAATTTCAAGTTTCAAATTGAACTGAATTGTGATGGAGCTCGAAATTGGCAATGGTGTTGACTTTCTGTACCTTCAATAATCTTTGTTTTAAAAATTAGTGATAATCTTTTCGTTTCATTTTATTTCAAATTTCCGAATCTATTAGCCAAACCGATTAGATTCTTTTAATTGATTAAGCAAAAGACTAAAGTTGCAATTGTAACGGTGTCACGCGTTGTTTCCAATCTAGAATATAGCATGGTCAAGCAAAGTTCAACCAGGCTTCCTATCTGGGTTCGAATTTCAAAAATTTATGTTTATTATTGATTCAAATTGCTTCAGATTTCCATTAGTTATCATTAAATCAAAAATCCCAATTAAAGTCTATATTTATGTCTAGAAACAAAAAGCAAAGTTTCAATTTGAACGTTATCATGCGTTCCTTTTGGCAGATAGTCTTGACAATAGTTTGATTTCTTATTTAGTTTCGAAATTGCAAAGTCTATTCATTTTCTTTGTGTTAATTAAAATCGCTAATCTGCAGTTTTCTTATTCATTCAAAATTCAAATCATTAACTTTCAAAATTGCAAAATTTATACGTTTTTTGTTAATAAAAATCACTGTTGATCTTTTATATTGAAGATTTTCTCATTAGTTTGCTCAATTTCCTCAATTTTCTCTTTTATTGTTTCCAAGAAGATAGAAGGGTAAAATCAAGGTTTCAATTTTGATTAACACCAATCATCATCGCAAAGTATCTGTAAACGAATTAGATCTTATTGCCATGTCAAATCTGCCCTCTATTTAATCTTTTTGTACCTGTGTTTCCTAACTCTAGTCTTACTGTAGACTATTTTTGGTTTCCTTTCTTTTTTGTGAAAGTATTCTAGCAATATGTTAGTTGCGGTTATGACTATCTGATTCGCTTCTATTTGCCCCCTGAATAAAGCATATATATCACAAATGTTCAATTTCGTTTCGTATTTGTCAAATTTTCGCAATTTTCCACTTTTAAACTACGAAATCTACTAATTCATAAACTTTTCTGAATTTGAATTTCAGGCAGAATGTCGATGACATCATTATCGATGAGATCCCGTAAATGGGAAGACGTTTTGATGGAGGGATGGTTGCACAAAAGAGGAGAACATATCAAGAATTGGAGGCCACGGTGAGCAAAAAGTTTAAAAGAACAAAAAAAAAGATGATATAGATTATATAAATATAAAAAGATATTAAAAAAAGATAAAAAAAAGATAATAAAAAAGATAACAAAAAGATAATCTAAAGTAAAAAGTACGCTAGAGGTGATTTTTGGTTTTTAAACGATCACAGATTGAGGCACAAATTTTTGTCTTTTCAAGTCCCTCCAATAATAAGGGTTTAAGTACAAATAAAGGATTCTAACATTTCATTTTCAAAGCCTTCATAGCAAAACTTTGCATTTCAAAAAATGACTTTAGATTTAGATTTTAAAACAATATCAATGCTTATTTTCCGCTTCAGTTATTTCCTTCTCTTCCGCGACGGTGCCCTCGTTGGATTCAAGTCGAAACCGGAACACAATCAGTCATTCCCCGAGCCACTCAACGATTTCATGATAAAAGATGCTCAAGTGAGTACTGTAGTTGATGATAAGATGAGGAAACATCAAAAAAAAGTTGACATTTGAGTTTAGCAATCTAGGAATTCCATGCCTAATGAATTTAAAGGATAGACTGTGAATTGAAAGATCGTGTTTCAAATTATTTGATATTAGATATGAAACAACACAGCCAGTTTTGTTCACCTTTGTTTATTATTTTCCCCAAATAAAATAAAGATATATAAAAAACTATAAACTAATACAATAAAATAAAATGCAATATTCCAAGAACTTTGTGATTTAGAATGGTAATCCCTTCATTTTCTAGGTTTGCACAATGGAGAAACCTCGCGCGAATATGTTCATGATTCGATGTCTTCAATGGACAACGATTATTGAAAGAACTTTCTATGCTGATTCAGCTGAGGTGACAATTGGAAAGAGGAGACGAAAAAAATCCGCCCAAAAAAAGCTGTAGCTTCGGAAAAACTTGAGAAATTCTAGAACATAAGTTCTAGATTTTCTAGATTAAACTTATGAAATCATAGTTTCGAATTGGAGATCTAGTCTTTTGTAAAGGAGTTAATAAGCAGCTAAAGCAGTTAATAACGAACAAGGCTCGAACTCTTATTGCATCTTTATAGGAGTTTCAAGTTTGACGACTATAAAACGAAAACAGCTAGCTAGTGAGGTCATAGATCGCAATAAAGTTTTCATTTCAAATTTTCCTTAACATTTCTCATTCAGAATAGAAGTTTCAAGCTTAGCAGTTAATATGCACTTTTGAAACAATTAATTTCTAGCTTCTCTAGACAATTTAGTTTCTTCTCCAAGATTTGATTACATTTAACATTTCTCATTCAGACTCGTCAACGATGGATCACCGCAGTGGAATCGATTGCAAAACGATATCGAGCGGCCGCCGAGGATGGAGATGAAGCAATGGAAACGGTTGGTGAGGTGCGGAGTGAGGAAATTGAGGGGAAAATATTAAGAAAACATAGGAAATATACGTTTACACTAAAAAAACACGAAAATCTTTCTTGCTCAAATGTTTTCATAAATCAAATACTACTTTTCTTTCAAAAACTTTGACTCTTCCGTGATTGTAACGAAATCTCTTTGAATATTAAACAATATTCGGCTTCGACATAGCATGAACAAGATTTTACTGATTGTGAAGTTGTTCGACTCTGAAAATCTTTTCATCAGTGAAAACGATTTTGAGATGAGCGTCGTTGGCGAAACAATTGAGAAGATCACTGCATCGGTCTTTCGCGTCTGTTTTGTTGCCCGGATCAAAAGTTGTGCCTTACTTTTCTTGTGCACTTTTAGCTTCAAATGATCCTTTGTGATTCTCCCCAACGATCTAGCGGAAATCCGCAATTGTTTGGCCATCTGGCGCATGCTGCACCCCGGGTTGCGGCGCACTCGATCTCGCACTTGTTTGATCTTGGCAGCGGTGACAACAGATCGCTTTCTACCCGAACGAGGACGATCACTTTCCAAAGAAGTCGTTGAATTGTGCGACTCACCAGCTTTCGATTCACTTTGAGGCGTGTTTGAACTTGAATTTGAATGTCGCGCGCCGAAATACCCTTTTTTGTGAAGAGCTATGATTCCTTCACGATTTGGAGACGGTCATGCCATTACTAAAAAACAACTTGAGGTCAAAAAACTGAAAAAAGTAGATCAAAACAAATGGAAACCATATTAAAAGCAAAGAAATAAGCGCAAATAACAAAGAAATGAAACGCTTTTGCATTACAACTTATGGGAAAGTAATTATGCCACACCCTGTATGTGTTTGATATGTTTGCTTCTTTTTTTAACATTAGATTTGAACAAAATGAGCTTTAAACCTAGAGATATATTGGCCCCCATAACTTTTCAACACCCTGTAGAATGAAACTTTCAGGTTTCAATGGAGGATTTGTCAGCACCGGGCCCAGGAATGCCCGGTCATCCAACCACTCATCATCATTTACAAGGTGGACAAGTCGCTCCAGGACAAGGCTCATTTCCCCAACCACCGATGCTTCCACAGCAATCGATTGCCGATGCATCCGATGCGGCAAAGAGAGATCATATTGTGAGTTTGGATGATTGGTTGTAAGTATGAATTGTAGGTTAGTATTGTTAAATCCAAGAAAACAAGAAAAAGTTGTCATTAGGCTGCATAAATCTATCAATCACGACTTTTTAGTTTGTCAAGCTATAGAATTTGGTTAACTTTTCGAAAAATCCGATCAAAAAACAACCAATAAATAGAGATTTCGCAGTTTAGTATTTTAATAGACATTTGCAATAAGTAGAGCTTGACTGCGCCAAGATAAAAATGGAGTTTCAAATAAATTCAGCTCAAAATAAAAGAGATGGGATTAGTTGCTTAATAAAAGGCCCTACATTGTTCTTGAAGAAAAAGTGTTTAGTAAGAAAATAAGAAATTTTTATTTTAAAACTACTCAACTGACTATTTTAAGGCTTACTGTAGCAAGACAAAGCCTTGGAGTCACGAAAATGATCAAAAGGAATACGTGGTTTCAAAGTTATTGCTATAGCATTGGTTTAAATTTATATCAATTATAATAGAGCTTAAGTACTAGCGATCGGAAGGAAAAAGGGTACTTTTTGTTAGGTGACCCCCAATTTTTTGCGGCGAATCTGAACTCCATTGCTTAATTTTTTGCCCTGATCCACTTTAAAACTTTAAACTTTACAAAATGTTTTTGATTTTTTTTGGTAAAAGCTTACAATTATTGAAATTTTTAGACAATGGACGATTTCGAATTTCTGAAAGTTCTTGGCAAGGGGACATTCGGAAAAGTGATTCTTTGCAGAGAAAAGAGAACATCCAGATTGTATGCGATAAAGATATTGAAGAAAGAAGTGATCATTGCAAGGGTGAGTCGAAGAAAACAGTAGAAACTCATAAATGAATCGAGTTGGATGGCAAACTTGATATTGTTATTGAAAAATCCAATCAATAAAGTCATTAAGGCTCTCACTAGACGTTTAATTCTAAGTAATTTGAAAAAGAAAATACTATATTACTAAGAAAAATTATTATTTCTTAGAAAAAGAAAAAGGCAATTAAACTTTAAATTCGTAGTATTTAAGTATTTAAGTATTTAAAATTTCGTTTTCCTAAGACTGAAAGTTTCATTACGAAAAGAAACGCAGTTTTAATTGAAACTTGCAAATTTACATGGTATTATTGTTGAAAAATTCAATCCAAATCAAAAAAAGTAATTAAGGCTTTCGCTAGAGGTTTAATTTTAAGTAATTTGAAACATTGATTTGAAAAAGAAAAGATTCTAAAGAGTAAGAGTAGAATTATCGATTGAAAATTTTTCTTAACTTTTGTATCGAAAGATTCCGCGATTTCTGAAAAGCAATCGTTATTTTTCGAGCAAAAAGCTATAAAGCTAAAACTAGAATTATTAGAACACGTAAAAATAAGAAAATATTGGATTGTTTAAGGTTTAAAAATTCGTAAGATCTAAAATGGGATTCCAGGAAGAAGTCGCCCATACACTCACCGAGAATCGCGTTCTCCAGCGGTGTAAACACCCGTTTTTGACGGTAATTTTTCCCATTTTCATTTCTACAATATCTCTTTGTCATTCTTTTCTGTTCCCTTCTAAAATGCATCAAGCTGTCTGCACAAAAGTTTCAATTTTCTTTCGTTTTTTTTGAGATTCAAGATTTCCGGTGATTGTATTGATTGGGGAAAGGGTTTCTTTGTTTAATCTTTAATATTTCAATTTCAAGTTATTAATTAGAAATTAATTAGAATCAATTAGACATTTAAAACTTAAATCTTCTTTAAAACTTGATTACAAAATTAAAGTTTCAAGTTATTTGACTTAAAGTCGGGACTCGTCATTGTAATGAGTCGCAAATGATTTTGATAAAAATAGCAATTCTTGAATTTCTATCCCTTAACAACGCCCGTTACCAACTGCTTAGGTGGTCTAGTGGATAGTCAGCTAGACTACGGAATCCATCACACTTTTTACCCTCAAATTCGAGTCAGCAACTCTTTATCAACTCCATTCTAATAGTAAGTCTTAGCCTTAGCTCTAAAGTTTCTAGTTTCAAAATGGACGGTGCTAGAAAAACTTTCAAAGAAAAGTCGATTCAGAGTTCTGCCGTTGTATTTGGCTCTCCAGAAGTCTTTTCTTTCTCATATTTCCGTTGAAAAATCACAAATTCACCAATTAATCTATGGTTTACTCTAAATGAGAAGTGTTTATTGATCAATTTCCCATCTTTTTAACTCAATTTCGGTTCACTTTTAAGCGAATTCGAGAGTGACAAATGTGTTTTTCGATTTCGACTTTAATTTCGATTTTGACTTTAATTTCGATTCCCAGCCTCAGTGCGATTCTGATCTCTCCTTCAATTCCTCGTCATCACCATTTCCCCCAATTACCCAATGACAGCCCTGAGACCCAATCTGTGAATTAACGTTATAAACTGAGCTTTACTTTGAGATACTTTGAGATACATAGAAACGAAAAGTTGCAAAGGCATTCAATTCCCATTTTCAGCCTCAGTGCTATTCTGATCTCTCAATCTGACCCGTTGATTTCCCCATCTTTACACATCCGATTTTCAGCAACTCACCTATTCTTTCCAAACTCCATTCCATTTGTGTTTTGTGATGGAATTCGCGAATGGCGGTGAATTGTTCACTCATCTCCAAAAATGCCGGGTTTTCCCCGAGGAAAGGACGCGTTTTTATGGAGCGGAAATCGTGTTGGCACTCGGATATTTGCACCATTTGTGCATCGTCTACCGCGATATGAAGGCATGATCACAATTTCTAAAATGATTTAAATTTCGTAAAAAAAAAAAAGTGAAAAGTTTCAAGGCATGTTCAATCGATTTCTTCTATTCTTTTCTCTTCTTTTATTATTTTTCGATTTTTTTTGCACTCTCGTTTTTCAAGTGATTTCGGTGTTGTACTTTTGTTGTCAAGTCTTTTTCATTTGGCTTTGGGTTTTTGATGGAAAACGGTCGGGAAAACGGAGCTGATTGGAGGGTTTTCCTAGCAAGCATTTTTCCCATCGTTTCCCATTGTTTCCCTTCTTTAAACTGCAAAACGCCATCGAAAACTTGCCTTTTCTCAGGAATTGCGCTTCTCATTTCAAACGAACGATCGGCTTTGCTTTGTGATGGAATTCGCGATTGGTGGCGATTTGTATTATCATTTGAATCGTGAAGTTCAAATGATGAAAGAAGGATTTTCTGAGCCAAGATCAAGATTTTATGGAGCTGAGATCGTTTCGGCTTTGGGATATCTACACGCAAATAATATCGTCTACAGGGATTTAAAGGTAACAATAATGGAAAATTACAAAACAGCAGCTTTTTGGCTCTGTTCATTGGGTACTTTGTGCTCTAGAAGCTCTAAAGTTACAAACGTGCCCCACTTGGTGTACTTGATTCTCTTAGTTCTTCATTTTTTTTGAAGAACCAAGAGAAATAGGGTTCTAGGGTTATTGAAATAGAGAAGTGCACCAGAAAGTGTTCGTTTCCGTAAGCTCAAAGTATTTCCGAGGAACATGTTGCACTTTGGAGCTACAGCTGTGGTTAGAACTTGCAAACGTACCCTTTCTGGTGCAGTCAAATTGTCTGTTTGAAAAATTATACAAGAAAAGGGAATGTTTAAGCTCACCCGGAAAGGTGCGTTTGGAAATTTTGAGAGTACAAAGTACATAAGCAGGCTGCTTGAGTTGGCTTTGTGTTTTGTGCTCAAAATTTGCAAACGCTCTCAATCTAGCGCACTTAATCTCCGATTTTCTTGCAGTAAAGATATGATATTGCAATAGATTGAAGAACTAAGTACACCAGAAAAGATGCATTTGGAGATTTTGAAGTGCAAAGTACACACAAAATTACTTTTACAGTATTAGTTGTGTATCTCTACCAATGTTCATTTCAAATATTTAAATGTAAATTGTGAATTGGCTTTGAAATGTGTCAAATATACTGTATGAAATGAAATATCTGCCTCCCCAATTATTGGGTTAGTGAATTGAAAACTGCGGGCTATTGTCATATGTGACAGTTTGAGCACTTTCTTCAAAAGAAACTCATTTTGGTATCAATGGAAAAGTTGTAGAGAATCAAAAATCAAGCTTATATCCAAATTTTCAGAACGATTCAAAAACTGGTTTTCAAGAGATGCGAAATTTACGAATTTTCACAAAACTTGCATTTTAAGCGAAACTACTAAGTGTATCTTTTTGGAAATTTGGCTATAAGCCTAATTTTTGATTCTCTACAACTTTTCTATTGACACCAGAATGAAGGTTTCTTTTGAAGAAAGTGCTCAAACTGAGCATCTCCAGGACATCTCCAGTCCTCCATTTTTGAGTCTCACACACAAACCAAAATCCTACTACGAAAGAGGAATCCGCAAATTGCCTGTAAAATGGGCAGAAGTCGTCAATAATAATGGAAATTATTTCGAATGAATTCATGGTTTTAGGTTGAATAAATTTTAGTTCAAAGCCCCGCAGTTTTCAATTCACCAACCCAATAGTTGTGTATCTCTACCAATGTTCATTTCAAATATTTAAATGCAAATTGTGAATTGGCTTTGAAATGTGTCAAATATACTGTAGAAAATGAAATCTTTGCCTCTCAAATTAGCTTTGGTTTATTCAAAATTGTGCCATTTTTGCTCATATTTATCATTTTTCTTATTCTTGCTTTTTTTTTACATTAAACATGCCTTGAAATAAGAATTTTTATGACATTACAGAATTCTAGTATGTATAAAAAATAGTTTCCTTTTTTAGAAAGGTAACTTTTCAGCTTGAGAATCTCCTTTTGGATAAAGATGGTCATATAAAGATTGCGGATTTTGGACTCTGCAAAGAGGATATTTCATTCGGTGATCGAACGAGCACTTTCTGTGGAACGCCCGAGTATTTGGCGCCTGAGGTGAACGTTTTGAAATGATGAAAAAAGAATTGATGCAGTAAACTCGAATTTTCTAAGCAAGCCTTTGTTTTTTTGAAAATACGCCGAAAAATAAAATTAAGCCGTTTAATTTGAAACAACAAAAGCTTTGGTTGAGATAAAAATTGTGCAATTTCTCAAATCTTCTTCTCATTTTTTAGATTCATTTTTAGTCTATGAAAAATCATGTTTCGAAGTTGAAAGATGCAAAATTTTGCATTTCAATTCAATTGCAAAAATTGAATTGCAAAATTGTGTGTTAGACTTTTCATCAGTCATTTTCTAAACATTTTTCTTTCAAAAGCAACCAAAGCGCATTAAATCTAAAAGCTCGGATTTAGAATCTTTTAGTTTGAAACATTGAAGCTATTTCAATTGACAGAGACATACATTTTGATTATTTTAAATTGAATAGTCTTCAAATCTGTTAGTGTAATACTTTAGACACGACAAAATGCTTTTAATTGAAAGCTACGATTGTAGCTGGTTTAGTCAAGGGATTTCCGCTTACTTATTTTTCAGGTAAACAAATTTTCTTTTCAGGTTCTTGAAGACAACGATTACGGCCGACAAGTCGATTGGTGGGGAGTCGGGGTGGTCATGTATGAAATGATGTGCGGGAGATTGCCTTTTTATTCAAAGGTTCTGTTTGAACTCAAAAGTTTCAACCTCGACCGCTTAAAGAAGTTACACAATCGATCCACCATTTAAATCGCTTAATCGACGATAAACTTCAGTCACTTAATAAAGCAATATAAGGGTTTACTGTAAGGGTCTCTTTCTTAAAAGTTTGAGCTTTAGTAGTAAAGAGTTTCTAGTTTTTAAAAAAATAATGAAAATTGTGTGTGGAGACAGAATTTGACAGGATTTTAAATTCATAATATTTTCCTAGCTAGTCAAGCTAGAGAACTAAGAACAATCAGGTCTTCAAGCTTGACAGGTACTAAAGTTAAGGTTTAGAAAAGTAATTATTAGTAAAAAATCAATTTTAAGCTAATTAATGTCTGACTTACAATCCGTTAATTTGAATGCTTAAGCACCGCTTCACTAATATGATTAAAAAGTGCAAGTTTAAAGTTAATCAAGCTGGGAAAGTTTGCTTCCTTATTGAGGAGGAGAGTCGATGAGAAAGTTGATTGAAGATCGATTTATCCAGAACTATAATATAACTATTGAATGTAGTGGAAGCAGTTAAAGCCAGGGCCACAAATAGCTCTTTGAATGGATTATTATAGATATTCTCAAAAATTATTCGTAGAAAAGTTCACGTTTCAAAGCGTTCAGCCTGAGCAACTTTGACTTGCAAGTAATTCCCTGAAAAGGAAATATTTTATGGGAAATAGTGAACATAAGAAACAAATCTAAGTCTCCCATTTTAGGATCACAAAAAGCTCTTCGAATTGATCATGATCGGCGAGTTGCGATTTCCTAGCAAGTTGAGTCCCGAGGCGAAGAATTTGCTGATGGGATTGCTGGTGAAAGATCCGACGCAGAGGTGGAGGATAAATTGAAAAAATTCTATGAACTTTAAAACTGTTGCAGGTTATTTAAAAAAATTTTCTCATTTCCAGACTGGGCGGCGGTCCGGACGACGCTTTGGAGATCACTCAGCACGAGTTTTTCGCGCCGATTGACTGGCAAAAGTTGTACAACAAAGAGATCGATCCACCATTTAAACCACATGTCGCATCCGATACGGACACTTCGTATTTCGATAAGGTTTGTGATTTTGATTGGTTGATTTCGATCGGCTGGTTTCCAAGTATTAAACTTGTAGAAGCTACAGTGAACTCAAAAAATTTGAAACATCAACTTTATTTTCCGGGTTAATAAGGCCACAAATAGCACAATTTTTTGAAAATCCAGTTGCACTCAAAAAGTGCAGGGTTACGGTAGCTTATTCCCGCTGAGCATCTTTTAAAAAACGCTTTAGGAGCACAGTTTAGTAGTGAATAATCGATGGAACTAGGAAAAACGGCGCCGTCGCGATATGGGGCCGAATTATCTTGTCTATTTTTATCAAATCTATCCACTTTTTAGCTTTAATTCTGTCCGGATTCACAAAGGATATCGAAAGATCCAAAAAATAGATAGATTCGATCAAAATAAAGACAAGATTACGCGAGAAAGAGGGAAAGGGGCGCGTTTTAGAAAAGGGTTCCTGGTTCTCATTGATTGACTCGGTAAACAGTGGTCGTCAAAATTGAAACTTCTACAGCGAACGTAGATTTGGTATCTTTAATCAACAAATTTTGATGAGGCTAGTAATAGGGGTACTTTCAGTTTATACTATTTTTTTGGCTAGGGTAGCTACCTGGTTTACTGTAAAATCCCATCCACAATGGACGAGCCGTCCTAAAACAGTCTACTTTTAGTAATTTACTTTGTTTTAACGACACGCTAACGAAACGGCACGCTTTATGAAATGGATTGGAAGAGGTGATGCAAAAAGAAATCACTTGTCTTTTCCAGGAATTCACCACCGAGGCTGTCCAATTGACGCCTCCACCCGCTCGGGCTGGACCTCTGGCTACGGTAACTGAAGAATTGGAGGATATGCAAAACAATTTCGTGCAATTCTCCTTTCACAACAACATGAACAGTTTACGGGAGAATAGCGAGTTGATGGAGTGAAATCGAATTTACCACGAAAAATTTGAAACCTACGATTTTTAGCGAAAAAAAGCTTTTTTTCTTGTTTTTCAAGCCTTCTTTATCAACATATCAATTTTTGTCTCAATTTTTGCAAGATTTCTTGACGTTTTCTAAAGCCTATAAGCTGAATATCTTTTTCAAATCTGTTTTTTGAAATTTCCTCGAAAATTTCCTCTTTTTTTGTGATCTCTATCTTTTTTCGAGCAAATTCATGGCAAAATTTTTGATTGAAATTTTTTGATTCTTTTCTACAGTAATCCAACTGAATAACTCTACAATTAATCGTTTTTACTTTAATTTTATCCTTTAACTGAATACCTTTCTCAAGAATCCTCCATTTCCCCCGGGTCCCCCCCCCAGTCACTCGATTTCTTTCAGAATTTTTCTTTTCTTCAATAAACAGGTCAAAAACGATTTTTCATGTGTACTTTCTGACAGGAAAAACTTTGTTTTTATGTGTTTTTTTTGAGTTTTCGCTTTTTCATTGAAATAAATATTTATTAGGCGATGCAACAGACTAAAACACTAAAATGTTTGAGGCGATAAATATTGGATTGGTGAATTGAAAACAGCGGGCTATTGTCATATGTGACAGTTCGAGCACTTTCTTCAAACGAAACCCATTTTGGTGTCAATGGAAAAGTTGTAGAGAATCAAAAATCGAACTTATATCCAAATTTTCAGAACGATTCAAAAACTGGTTTTCAAGAAATGCCAAATTTACGAATTTTCACAAAACTTGCATTTTAAGCGAAACTACTAAGTGTATCTTTTTGGAAATTTGGCTATAAGCCTCATTTTTGATTCTCTACAACTTTTCTGACACCGAAATGGGTTTCTTTTGAAGTAAGTGCTCAAACTGGGACATCTCCAGTCCTCGATTTTTGAGTCTCACACTTGTCTCACACACAAACCAAAATCCTACTACGAAAGAGGAATCCGCAAATTGCCTGTAAAATGGGCAGAAGTCGTCAATAATAATGGAAATTATTGGGAATGAATTTATGGTTTTATGTTCAATAAATTTTAGTTCAAAGTCCCACAGCTTTTAATTCACCAACTCAATAGAAAATTTCCATTTTAGATGACTCTTGGCTAAGTTTTTGTTCAATTCACATCACACAAATGACTTAAGAGTTTTACAATTCAAAAATAGAGGCTCATTGAGGGCTCTACAAGCATTTTTAAAAGTACAAAAAGTTGTTAACTCACTTGCATATAGTCATAATATCATCGAAAATTTGTCGGGCCTTCTCTTTGTCAGTTTTCTCTTTCTCTTGGATTGTCAGAGAGTAATTGGCAAAATCTGAGTCAACATTATCCTAAAAATAACAATATAAAGCTTTCAAAGAAAATGAAACTCGAATTTTTGTCTTGGAGAATTTTGATGTAGAGAAAATAAATGGATAAAATAGTTCAGGTTTAATTTTCCGCAAACGAAATCTATTTTTAAACCTGTTTCCTCGATTTGCAAATTTCACACATCCTTTCCTGGTCGCTGTTGTGATATGTACATTTTGAGCACGACCATGCCATTCCCTAGAAAAAAATGCACGGCGCAGCATAGTTGTAAAATCTTTCGAAAGAACAAAGGGTAGAAATGTGCAAAGTCGTTTTTAATATTAATTTTACTTCAAGTGCTTTGTGAAAAGATTCATAAACTCCAAAAACAAAGAACAATGAAAGGTTCAACAAATTTATAACAAGAACAATTGAAATACGAAAGAGAATACATGAAGAATGACAAGAATTGGTTTTTTAAGCAGCCTTTCAGAACACTAATCTCTCAAAACTAGAGTGTGTTGATCTCGATTTAGATAAAGAATTATTTGCTCAAAATTATCCAAATAATTATTTTTCCGAGATCAACACACTCTACTCAAGACAGTTATATAAAACGGTGATAAATGTGACATTCCCAAAAGAACATTGCCTATTCCTAAATTAGCTTTTAAAATGAATATCCATTTTCCAGATCCTCTATCATTTTATCAAAAATGGGAGCAAAGTCTTCCGAAATATAAAGTGCTTTAAATACCGTGACGATTGCAGAAATCGAGCGAAACAAGCAGGGAACGCTTATATTTTGCTACTTTTCGCTTGAAACCCAGTTTTTTGGAAATTAATTGATAATTTTATGATTCTTATAATTCAGAATTGGCTATACATAAAAAATAGTTGAAAAATGTTAGACTCTCCATTTCTTTCAAAAATCCGAGACAAAAACGAGAATTTTATGATAAATTTTCCGACAAAAATTGTGTAACTTTCCTGTGAAAACCTCCAAAACACGATTTAGCTTTTTATTTGTACAAAACAATAGGTCACATTTGTCACCATTTGTCAGCATACTGAAGAAACCGTAATCCTTCGTCAATTCCCGGTTCCTCTTTCTTTTCGTTTCCACAAAAAGAGGCAGCACAGTGTGCTGAATATTTTAAAGTTTAAGTCATTTAAATTTTCCCAACACCCCAGAAGCAAATTAAGCAAAAAAACCTTGTTGAGAACTCCAGCCAAACAATGTATTGATGTCCAAGATGAGATTGATCAGATCAAGGGTGAAATACCCAAAATATTGTGGTCATAAAGGCTCCAAATAAAAGAAAGCTTCATAAAGATTAGAACTCAGCGTATTTCTCGACCAATTTTTGAAAAAATCGAAAACCGTTCTGTTTTGCGAATAAAACAATCGAATTTCTTTAAAGTTCCAAAGCAATCTTTTCTTTGTTCTGCAATTTCCCCAATTTAGCATCAAAATGGGAAGACTACTGGTGATTGCCGTCCTTTTATCAATCATTGCTCTAGTACAAGGACAAGATTGTCCACCAAATTCGTTTTATGTGGAGACAGACAGACATACTTTGCCTCTTATAATAAGTAAGCTTTCATTTACTTCACAAAAAATTTATTCTAATGACAAACACCAAAAAGCGCATTTAAAAAATTTTCACATTAGTGCTTTGCTGCGACGTAGCAAGGTGTGTCTTTAATTCTTGTGGCTCATTGCGGTCTCACCCTGGTTCTCGGCACTTGTTACGATTCGGGCAGCCCACACCGAATCTAAAAAAAATGTTTGACGGAATAGGTTTGGTATAATACCAACAAGTTCTCTTCTAAACACCTTCATCTTCGCGCTTGCGCTTGCCCGTAACACTGACATCGTGACCATGAGTGGCATCGATGATGTACTGCGAAATGGCCTTCTTGCTTCCACCTAAAGAAATATACGAATTAGATTTAGCATAAAAGCAACAGATTCTCTTTTAAATTGAAGAATATTTAAAAAGTTAAAAGAGCCATTAAGTAGAATAAGAGCAGACCAAACTGACCGCCGCCTTGATTGGTTCCGGCATCATCGTTTCCACACTTGGACTCACGATCTGGTCGAACTCCATCATCTTCGCGCTTGCGCTTGCCGCGACGGCCTTCTCCTGATGGTGGTGGAGGAGGTGGTGGAGGGAGGAGGTGGCAGTTGTGGGTATACATCAACCAACATTTGCTTGGATCTCAAGTTCACTCGGTGCCCAAACAAAGCGGTTCGACGAGTTGAGGGGAGTTGGCGGATCGACAAGTTTAAATGATGAAATTAAACAAGGTTTTAGTGAACGAAAACACAAATAAATACTAATACTAGAAACAGTAATACCAATTAATAAAAGTACTAAAATGGTTTACAAACCTTTAAAACCTTTAAATGCTTTAATGCTAACCTTTAAAAGGGCAGACTGGCGAGTTTCGTCGCTTTTCACCACAACACCGAAGGATCCCTCGTAGATAAAACGGCCGCTGACATCTCGGACAACCCGGTCCACAGGGGCAGCGATGGGGTAAACCCCATCCCTGTCCAGGAAGACAAGGTCAGGACGAGAAGAAGAACTTGCCTAAAAATATTCAAAATACCCAAAAATGATAAGTCTGTAAAGAACAGATATAGTACGAAGGGTAGGGCGAATTAAACATAGCACTAAAATTGCTAGTGGGCCATGAATCACCCGGAAAAATTTGGGGGATAAGTTGTCTAGCGAAAGTGTGTGTAAATGCTACAATAACCCATCACTTGCTAAACACGACTTCCAGGAGGCTTCCAAAAAAACTTTAATTGACTCTGTAGTGACGTGGCGCGGGAACTGAAGAAGACATTCTTTTTTGACATCACATCTCAACTCTTTCTTAATCTGGACATTCCAAAACCTTACCTCCAAAAGCACATCCAGAAGTAGCAGCTCTTTGCGCCTGGATCTCAAGTTGTCTCGGAGTCAAGCTTAAAAGATGATATTTTTCTGGGTGCGGGTCTGCTTGATAGTACAATAATATACAACGGGAAAAGGTCTGATCCCTTTTCGTCAAATTTTTTAGCTTGTTTGGTAAATTTCTCAACACTCTTGCAAAAGATTCCCTAAATCTCTTCTCACATTGAGTTTATCAAGGAAATAATAGCTCTATTGAGCTGTGCTCGCTCATAATTTGACTCCACTAATGCATATCGTTTAATAGATGATCCCAAGAAGTGCTACACAACCAAAAGCCACGAACAAATTTCCTCATAAGTATTGCCTTACATCGGTCACTTTATCATTTAGCTGAATTTCTTGAGTTTCTATTTTTAGCTTTTCCCACTTTGTAGACGAGTCCCAGGTATCCGAGATTTGTTGTACTCAGGTTGTACCGGTATGTTTTGTAAATGCAATTATAATACAAATATATTATGCGGCGTTTAAGTATCCAATTCCAAAAAAGGACGTTTTCCTTTCAAAGATTTACCGGTTTTATGTTTTGTAAATGCAATTAAAATCGATCGATCGTGTGATCGATCAAGCTTTAAAGACGTTTTTTAATTGACCTCATGAGAACTAATCTTTATTGTATTTTTACATTTTAGGACGAGCCATTTCACGATACAATTCAAACGGTCGAATGGTTGCTGACGAGGAAGATTATGCGATCAAAAAGCGATACCGATACACATCGATTACACCCCTATGTAAATTTTTTTTCTTTAAATTAAAAATCCGAACACTACAAATTTTAAGTTAGGCCCAAAAATAAACGGAAAAAATAAAATGATCCGAAAAGCATCATCCAAAATTTCAGAATTAAAGGCGGCGACTTTGATGTTAGTGAAATTTCATATTTCATCGAACCATAAAGTGTTATATGTCATTCAATAGCTCTTTTCACGCTCTTTCAGAATGCTGAATTGAGTTTTTGTGGAATTCTATTTTTCCATGAAATTTTTTCCATATTCTGCGCAGAAAAGTCAAAATAATTTTTTTCACAAAAATCTAGCTGATAAACTAAGCTCAAAAAGCAAATTTCTGAATTCTACGCAAAAAGTTGGTCGGAAATTGTTTTTTAATTTTGTGTTTTGGTTAATGGAAACGCGAACTCTGAAACCTAGGTTTTTTAGAAGGGCGCGGTTATATGGCCCGCGCGCACCTTTGATGTTGGTAAAATTTTTCTTTTGTGTCAAATCATCAAGTGTTATATATCATTCGAAAGCATTTTTATGTGTTTAAACATGACGGAAAGAATTTCCCAAAAACTTTGACTTTTTATTAGTTTTCTCCGATTTTATAATCTGGAATGCAGTTTTTTTCAGCTTCTGCGGTACTTGCAGATCTGGTATAGTCTAGAAAGAATTTATTCTATTTATAAGCATGAATTAGACAAAAACAAGAATCACAATTGAACATTAAGCAAAAAGAAGGAAATTAAGATGTCATCTTTCCATCATCATTGAGGAGAACAACATAACCGAGCCACTTGAGCGAGTTCATCAGTCGCGATAGGGTGATTTTTTAAATTGATAGAAGAAAGGTTTACTTATTTCAAGTTCCAGATAACGTTCTCGAAAAGAATCCGGGGTCTTGTGAGATTAGTGCAAACCAGAGCTATACGAATTAAACTGAATTATCCGAGTTTCAAATTCGAACTTTCTCCAGCTAAGATTCTGCCCACAGCGACTCACAGAACATGAGAAGCCTACTTCGCATTCGAATTCGCACAGTTTTGATATAAATTTAATCAAGAAGTGTTATTGTTATAAAAATTCCGAATGAGGCTATGCCAATTCAAAAAACTAGAAACTCCCGGTGCTTCTTTTAAAGATAATATGTCACTGGATTTTGATTACTGACGGTGTGTATTATTTTATCCAATTAGCAGATTTAAGATTTCGGCTGTCTGAAAGTAATGAACTGAACGTTTATTGAGTACATTACGATTCACTTAAAAGGTCGTCAGCGGCAGCCATAAGAGCCATTATCAGGTCAACGATTTCTGACTGGGCGAGTCGACTGCAGGTACATCCAATGATTCCATGAGTGAATGTCCGCATGCATTGTTGGTGACAGCCTGCTTTGATGAAATAGTTGCGAAGCGGGATTAAAGCTGCATCAAAATCGACTGGCACTTGCTGAAATTGAACTGAATCAAAATAAAGCCGTTGAACCTCGTTAATAACCATCAAAGGGGTTCGGAAAATTGAAGTTATTTTACTTAAGGTTTAAGGGTGCGGGACAATCTCTCTTTTCCCTTTTTGTTGTTACAACCTACTACGGGGAACTCGTTTTCTTACTAACCTCTTTTTCGTGGATGGTACTCGGCGAAAGGGCAACGGTCACAGTCATCATCACCATCATCGCCACCAAAAGTTTGTGCATCGCTAAATTGTTTTTCTATAGACTGTAGATAAAAGGAGGAAAAAGAAAGGAAACTTAATGCTCATCTATGCTATAGAAAACTCTAGATGATATGATTTGAAAGTGAAAAACGAAAGGAAACGAAGACGTTTCTCTCATGGTTGAAAAACGATATTGAAGAGGAAGAAAGAAATTAATTCAGCTCAAAATACAGAGTCTATTTTGAGTTGGTACACGCGTCCTTCACACACATCATGCTAGAATGAAAAAGAAAAATTTCTGGAGAAATGTATAGTCTCAAAATGTGTGTAATTCATGAATCAGTAAACACAGAAATGGGCTAAACTCTATGGAAATACCGACGTGAAAAAAGATGGATAAACAAGTACACAAAAGAATTGCCACAAAAGAATTGCCTAACTTACCGTAGTCTATTCTTTGGATCCATAGTGGCTTCGGTGTAAATGATGGCAATTTGTACATGTGATTTAAAAATGGGAAAACAAAGCATATGCGCAAATTCCCATCATTTACACTGAAGCCACTATGGAGTCAAAAAAAGACTGCGATAGTGCCTGATAGATGTCTCAATAAACGTTTAATTTTAGAGCCGAGTTAGGCAATTCTTTTTGTACTTTTTTGTCTATTTGTCAACAAATTGTGCAGAATTCTGTGATACGATTCTGTATTTACTGATAGAATCTCTTTGATCTTGAAATCTTCTCTCCTTTCCTGGACATTTCTCACCATATTACTCCGCCCCAACGGATCTCACTATATAATATTTTAATGTCTTGTAATAAAGGATTCAGTCTCTCATTCCTGCACGCCCTCCTCTTCCCCGAACAACAACAAACAACATATTTCTTCTTTTGCACAAATTCAGCAATTGAACTATGGTCTGAATACAACTTTCTAACGCCTTTTTGTCATGTTGATTGGCCCTTTTCCTTCAGAAATCAAAAATTGATGACAATTATAAATGATTTTTTTCACCTGCTAAATTTGAAGTACATATATTTCCATTTTCGATAGCACTTTTCAATTTGAAGAAGTTTTTTAAGCGCCACTTGTTGAAACAGGAACAATAATTAGTTGATTCATTTGTTTGAAGCAATGATTTCCAAAATATTTCAATATTGGTGTTTTCTGAATGAGTGTAATTGTGACTCGTCGATATGGTTCCGTCAAAATAATTAATGAAATTGATTCCAAAATTCCGTGAGAAGGAAGATCGAAGAAGAAATGATTCACAGCTAGGTCTACTCCCCTAGTCAAATTTCCGTCAAATTTTGAATCTTATGAAAATATTTTGTCCCTGATTTTTTATGAAGGCGCGAAGTCGGGTAGTCAAAAAAGGCAATTTAGACGCTTTGGTCCATAGAAAGCTATGTTACTGTCAATAGATAAAAGATAGAGCGCAAAAAGTTTGGTATATCGCCAAATTTTCAGAGAAATTCATTTAGCCAATTTCTTCTAATAGGTTTTTATAGATTTTTACAAAAAACGCGTTTTCCACTCTCGAATTTGCTTGTAAGTGAACCAAAATTGTCTTAAAAAGATGAAAAATTTAACAATAAACGTTTTCTATTTAGAGGGAATTGTAGGTGAATTCGTCAATTTTGCTTTTTGAAAAAAGTGCCTTGTCATATTTGAGTATTTTTCTGGCAACTTGGGTCAGAAAATGTGCACAAACGTTGACTTTCAGCCCAAAAATAATGTTACTTTTGTTGAAAATAAACGCGCTGGCACAAGAAACGATTTGGCGCAATTAATGTCGCATTTCCTAAAAAAAATACAAAAATTTTTGCGTTCGGGGGGAATCGAACCCCCGTCGAATGCTTG